ATGTATTACATTCTCCTTTCCCTTCTTAGATAGACAGGGACTTCCCACTATCTATCTCATTCCATCTAAACATGTGATTCCTGTGACTCACACTTGCAGGCTGCTTAACAGACTTTCTCTCAGGATTCTAACCAGTCTCCTTTCAGTACAGTAACTGTCTCCTCTCAGTCTAAAGATGGGAAACTAAAATTGCACCCCACACAACCAAATTTCCAGTGAAAATCACATAGAGCTTGCACTCCTTATTCCTTTGTGTTGATGTTTTTTATGCCTATATAAAAACCATGTATATAAACAATTATGGAGCTAATATTTTGTTTGTCTTTTCTTGCCATTTAATTTGGGAGATCTTTCATGATGTAAACCCAGCTAGGGCCAAATAAGGAAATGTGTATGCCCTGCAATTAGCAGGGTTTTCATTTCAACATCAGGCTTTCCTGGGAAATACATGACTCTGCAATGGGACTTGCAAATGAAATCTGTGTTTATTTTTCAATAAGTAATTATGTTTTGCTGTTAAGTCATCTGGGTATCCCATCATTCTGTTCTCTTTTGGTTTATCTTGCTTTCTGTAGCTCTATAAGCACAAGTTAGGGGGAAAACAAGAATTTCAAACTATCTTAAAGTAATTGCAGGGCTGTTTTAGAAGGGTTGTTGTTGTTGTTGTTGTTGTTGTATTTTGCCTTATAATAGCATAGTTTTCCAGATAAGGGAAGGAGGAGGAATCAAGATTTAACTTTCCTCTTCACTCCAAGGACAAATGACATGTCTTGTGTGTCCCTAACTGGCCTTTGCACATGTTCAGAGATATGTCTCCCCAAATCATCTACCGTATTTTCTGACGTATAAGATGACTTTTTAACCAGGGAAATCTGGGGTTAAAGTCAGGGGTCATCTTATACACTGGTTATAAGGAGGAGGAGGAGGAGGACAGAGGTGCGAGGTGGAAGAAGCCTTGGGAGAAGAGGAGGACAAGGAGGGCAGAGGTGGGGGTGGGAAGAAGCCTGGCGAGAAGAGGAGGACGAGATGAACCCTAAGGCGATCCTCTCCTGGAGTTTTCTTGGCAAGACTGGTTTAGAGGAAGTTTGCCATTGTCTTCCCCTGAGGCTGAGATGTGCAATTGCAGGACCATATGGATTAATATAATACCCCATGGATTAAAAATTACAGGAAATGCAAGAGGAGGAGAAGCAGATGCTATGGCAAACAGACATCTTTCATCAGTTCTGGGAAATGCTTCTTGATCTGTGCGGAGTGCATCATCTCCTTTGGCCTGTAGTCAGCTTATTGGTCTACTTAGCCCAGTGTTATCTACTCTGATTAGGGATGGTTCTGTGAAATCTCTAACTTATTACTTCTCAGTTGTGTTATCCAAGATGCTTTTAAGTAAAAAGGCCAAGAAATTAAACCTCTAGATAAGATGCTTCACAGAGGACATTTCAAGGGCAAGATAGCCCACTCTTTTAAGATATTCAGTATTTCAAGGGTCCTCAAGTCCAAGTCTGGACTGAAAATGAAAAATTGTAGGAAGGGAGAGCCAAGAGCTAGGATCCCAACAAGAGTTATAGCACCTGGACAGTAGACTGAGCAAGCACAAACATTGCCTGGACAACTTCCATCCCACTATGATGAGATATTCCTTCCTGCAGTGTATGAATTATTTCTAAATTTGTATATATATGTATGTATAATATAGCATGTACAAATATCATACCAATGTTTCCTTTATTCTCTTTTTTTTTATAACACATAAATGGCAATGCTCAACCCAATTATACTTCAATTCAGCTACTGAACAGTGACATTCTTTCTTCTCTGTTTCTTTTGGAGCAGGGTTGGGAATCATGCTGGATAGCTCCAGATGTTGTTGGACTTGTAGCTCACCGCGGACTATGCTGGCTATGGCAAATAGCATCTGCACTCAGTAATGTCCCCATCCTTCTGTCACTCAGTGCAGGGAAGGTGGTGGCAACAGTCAAAAGGAAGTGCTTGGGCCTCTCCTTTGCCACAGCAGTGGAGATCTCTTCATGAGAAGGTCTCTGCTGCCATGGCAAACCTGGGAGAGGAGAACTCGGGCCTCTCATTTGCCACCAGCAGAGGCCTCATGAGGTGGCCTGTGACATGGCAGCAAAGCCTGGAGAGAAGCAATGGGAGGAGCATCCAACTGGGTGTCACCCCTTTTCTGGAGTGTCACCTGGTGCAAGCACCACCCCAGAACCTCTTTAGTAATGTCACTGGTTGCAGTCCAACAACACTCAGCATGATTTTCAACCTGGCCTTAGAGAATGGATTTGCCTTGGAAATGAATCCTGTCCCCTTTCTTGTCCAATGCAAGAATCACATCCCTAGATGAACACATTAGACTGTGTTCCTCTCACAGTACACCCATCATCATCCAGATCTCACCTGAAGATGTAAGAATCCTGGTGGGATGGGGGGGGGGGCAAGATCCAAATGCCATCTTCCTACCAATCTGTCCCATTATCTTTCATGTGAAAGTGTGTGCATGTGAGTATAAAAACACACACACAGCATGTATGCCCAGAGGATCCTCACTACACTCACTGTGTACAAGACATTAGCTTTTCACCTGCCATTACTCTGTTGCCATCTGAAGTTGACCTCTTGCTGATCACTATTTCAGTGTCTTAAACCTTAGTCATGCAAAGAGCAAAGGTTCATTTTCAAAGCATTCTCTGCATTTTTACATGCCGTATGTTTAGAGCTCTATAAAAACTGGTATAGGTAAAGAGTCAATGAGCAAGGTGGCAGCAACCACATTGCTTTTGTAATAGGTTTATTATTATTTTCTCTCTCAAATGACTTAGGTTGGAGGAGTGAGCATAGGGTGAACTTCCCTATAAGAGCTGCCTGTATGGTGGGATTGAGGGTTTCCATGCCATTGTTACATGTGACCTTAGAAGGCCTTAAGCTTAGGCCTCATGATGTGAAAGGTTAGTTCCCTTCACAGAAGTCAGTCTTCCTCTGCCATTTTCATTTTCTGGCATGACATTATTCCAAGGGTCTGGAGGAAAGTCACTCTCTGGTATGAAAGGTTATTGTGGAGCTGAAATTATTTTTTGGGACTCAGCTGGACGTGTCAATAAAGATGGGCCATTGTAGGAAGAAAGTGGTGGCAATAAAATATCCTCCTAAAAGCTTGTAAATTGGGATCGTGTTTATGGCATGCCAAGAGAATGGCTCAGATGGTGTGACCAGTTCTAGCAATTTATCTTGTTTTCAGAAATGAGGTATGTTTTTTTAAAAAGCCATGAACGAATATGACATCTATAATTTTATTCTTTAGACAGAACTAAAAGCTATGGATAATGGACAATGTTAGTGAGAGTTATGCAATTCTAAGTTCAACTTCCAGGGTCAGGGACTGCTTCTGGCACCTACGGTTCACTCCTGCCCTGGGATTGTGTTCCTGCTCTGTTTGCTGTTTCAGTTTGTGACAACATAGTAGTGTTCTAGCTAAATTGTCACAAACTGAAATGGCAGATAGAGCAAGAACACAATCCCAGGGCAGGACTTTTTTTTTTTAAGTAATATTGATTTTATATTAAATCATAACATACAAAGCAAATACTAAAACATCTAAACATGATACTAAATAAAACTACAAATAAACCTAATAATCTAAAAAATATAATTTGCCCCCTCTATTTCCCCCCCCACTTAAAAATGCCAAAGCAAACATTTACATAAACCAAACCAAACCAAACTAAACTAAGCTAAACTAAATACACACACATTGGCTTCCATCCCATCTAGGAAGATTAAAGCAAAGTAGATTAAACTTCTCCATATACTTTTCTATTTCAAACCCACATCTCTTCTAATATAACAACATCAAAAATGCTCCAGGAATCTGTCTGCAAGTTTAATCTTTACTTCTTTGCTTTACTTCTTCAAGTAAAGCAAAAATGATATTCAGTCTTTAAAAAGTTATCCAATGATTTCTCCTTCAGTAGTATTGAAAGTTTATTCATTCTGCCCTCCTTGTAGCAGATGTTAAATGTCAGCTCCCAGCCACCCAGCATAGTTTTTGCAGCATTGTTGCATGACATTACTGCCAGGTTAACCTGTCAAGATCCACCAATAGCGAAACCCCTTTGCCAGGGATAGCTGTGGCCCCTTCAGAGCAGATACCAGCCATATCTACTATAGTAGTTTCATGAATGGTAATCATAGTGGACTCTCAGATAATGTAAGGTCATATGTAAGAGCCATTCTGATTTTTTGAGGATTAAGAAGGTTGCAAAATGCCATTTCACAGAATTATCCTAAAGTTAAAATAACAACAAATGTATCACCTTTTGCTGATTCATTCCTTGTCCACCTGGTAAAGGTAACATGTGGTGACTGTTTCCAGTACTTTACCAGAGCATGTCTCCTCAGTTTGCTTCCATGGGCTGAGATTTACCTTTGGAGCTGGCTGTACCATTAGGAAGAGTGAAACAAGCACCCGCAGGCAGCAGTTTTGATGAATCATAAAAATTGGCAGATTGTTAATTTAGTTATTAATTATTTAATTATTTAATCTTATTTTTTAATAGTTAATGGCCAGAATTCACTATGGGACTTAGGTCTTCATAAGTGGATTTAACGTCTATAGAAAATGGTTTCACAATTTCTGTATTCAGCAAGGGGCTGCTGTGATGTTACTATTTAAGAGAGCCATTGAAGTGGCCATTGTGAATTGGGACAGATGCATAATAGGGACCAACACATATCAGGCACTCCCAGTGCCCATCCAAATAAGTGATAGGGAGTGGCCGATGCATATCAATGGAGCCCAATACACATCAGGGCACTCTTGCTTGCACCCTTATACACATTCACTTTGTTGTTGTTGTGCATCTTCAAATTGTTTCAAACTTAATGGCAATCCTATCATGGGGTTTTCTTGGCAAGATTTGTTCAGATGAAGTTTGCTATTGCCTTCCTCTGAGTCTAAGAATATGCAATTTGTCCAGGTCACCCAGTGGGTTTCATGGCAGAACTGGGAGTCAAACCCTGGTCTTCAGAGTCATAGTTCAACACTCAAACCACTAAGCCATTTGTATTTATTAAGAGCAGCTGCCTGACAGAGAAAGATGGGATCTGCTCGCTAGGAGTGCATGACTAGACTACTGAAGGAAGTGAATTCATACCTGAGAATATCAGTTTATAGTCATGAATCAGATGAGATACCTAAGAGGGAATACATCTGTCTACCTGTGCCTGTCTCTACTTCAGCAGCTACCTGTAGGTGCATAGTTATATTTGTACGGGTGGTTGTACATTTCTCACTTGGAGAAATATGGTCCATGAAGTATCGTGCTTCACTGATCACTTGAGAAAGAGAAAGAGAAAGAGAAAGGATCAAAATGAGAAGAAATGTCTCATTACCAGTCTGCTTCAGATTGGAGATCAGTCATTATTTGTTCCAGCACTGACCCAAGACATCTCTCTTATCTCTAGGGCTGTGCAGAAATGGTGCTTTCTCTCATAGGAGTTTATCACACGGGGGATTCCTGTGCAGAAACGGGGCTTTACATTGAGAAAAAACGCAAAAGCAGTTAGATTTTCAGATGACGTCGCTGTTAAAATGGAGTTAAAATGAGGTTAATAATCATCAAAAACTGCTTCTTTTTACTTTCGGAAAATTTCGAAAGTAGTGAGTAGGGAAAATGCTTATCCACTTAGATCAGCTGAGAAGGTGGTGCTGGGATAGACTTGCCAGAGTGGAAAGGCCACTTGTAACTTTAATGGTTGTTTGCTGGAGGGAATTTCAGGAGGTGTTGCTTGCTACATGGTTGCATGACAAGCAACACCTGCTTAAATTTCTTCTTTCACATAACCATTAAAGCTAAACAAGCCCTCTCTAGTTTTCACTCTGGCAACCCTAAGCTGGGAAATATGTGTGCCACTTTCAGGTGTGGACAACTTCCAGAGGCTTAGAAACCAGACATGTACACACACATGCAGGTCATACCGTACCTTTCTCCATGCCCTCATCCATCCCCCCAATGTTTTTTCATTGGAAAAGTCTTTTATTTTTGTGTGGAGGGAACTGTTTTCAAAACACAAAATGACCAGAAGTCCTTCCAGCTTTGATAGAAGTCCCTCCTGGCCTAAAACATAGGGGCTGGCAGAAAACATACTGAAATTGCCCCTACATTCCCAGAGGATGAGAGATGTCTTTTTCAATTAAAATTATACACACACACACACACACACACAATATGTATACACACAACATTATATCTACTTACCTACCTATATACATACATATGCTATAAATATACACAAATGTATAAATACAATATGGAGAGAGCAGGGGGTTGTGATATGCAGTGAGGCCCTTTGGATGGCCACATACAGCTTATGGAACACATTTTCTAAGCAATGCTGTATCTGTATGCATGTCTGAATGGAGGATCTATAGTAATAGCAATAGCGAATACATTTCTATACCACTTATAAGTGCACTAGCACTCCCTAAGTGGTTTACAATCTTTAAGCCAATTGCCCCACAAAAGCTGTGTATTCGTTTTACCAATCTATGAAAGGATGGAAGGCTGAGTCAACCTTGGAACCCCCCAGGATTGCACTTACAGTGTTGTGGCTGTGGGACTGCCATTTAACCACTGTACCACCAGGGCTCCTTTCCAAGAAAAAAGAGTCAACTGAAGATTTCTATGTGAACAGGATGTAGAGAGTGTGTTTGAGCAACTGGGAGAGAGAATTTAAGCAGTGTATACATTGGTATCACTATATGAATAATGCCTAGGGGCTGGGCCCATGCAATGCTAGCACATAGCTGCCAACATCCTGCCCTAGGATCAATCTGCTCCTCTGTCCAAAAAATGCCACAGTGTTACAGTAATCTGCACAGAGTGTAGTTATGGGGATGGGCGCAAAATGAAGACATTGCCCCCTCAAAACAAGAATTCCACCACCTCAGAAATGTTCATTCAGACTCCAAATTTCTAGCATTGCACAGAATGAGATCTTGAAAGTTGTTCACACCTAAAACTCTTAAGATTTGTTGTGTTCACATTCCTTTGGTAACTTTGCCTGCCTCTTTTCTTTGGATGCCTGAACTTTAGTTTCTAAATGCTCAGCTATTAAGCTTATCGCATGGCACTTTGAAGAACGGGAACACAAGGGAACAGAATGGAACAAAAACACATTTTACTGCATGGGAGAATGCCACCGATGCTGCTGGGAGTCCCCAGTCCATTCCCCAGCCATTCCTAGCAGCTGGTTTTTGAAGTACTGTTCAAAATCGTCCTTCAAAAATCAGCTGCTAAGAATGGCTGAGGAACGGATTGGGGACTCCTGGCAGCATTGGTGGTGTTCTCCCGTGCAGTAAAATGTATTTTTGCTCCATGCTGTTCCCTTGTGTTCCATTACGTTCCCGTTCCTTAAGTGCCATGCGATAAGCTTATATGTTCTACTTTAATGTTTTAATGATTTTTAAATTTTTTAAATGGTTTTAACCATGGTGTTTTTATCTTATGTTTTAAGATTATTTAATTATATTTTAACTTTTGTAAACAATGTTTTAGTTTTATCTTTTAAAAATACTATAAGCTGCCTTGAATCTCATTTTGGGAGACAGGCATGATATAAATCCTGGAAGCAAGCAAGTAAGTAAGTAAATAAATAAGTAAATAAACACATTAAAAAAGTTACTGCAATGGTAAAAATTCGGGAGTTGAAGGAAAATTTCAAGGGAGAAAATTCTTATTCAGGAAGGTCTATGTCCTCATTTTGCTGCAGCTACACCCCTGGTACTGTCCACCAACCAAGAAAATATCTGCCACAGCTAAACTAATTATATCAGCATTAAAGGGTGCCACACACTGAAAGCTGGAGGAGCTTGTTTTGTCTCTGACAGCTGCATGACAGACAGAAAGTCAGCAGGGGATGCTTTCCCAACCATTGTAGTAACACACTAAGAAAAGACCTGGCCTTCTACCAAAATTATAATACTACAGGGTACTATAAAATACAGATGACTCTTTTTTTGTGTCACAAGTTAGTTTGTTACATTATTGTAGTCCTCCACTGAGTAGAACGTTTTCTGAAGCTGGAAAAAGAAAAATACTCAACCGCTCTTGCTGTTTTGGGGCGGGGGAGGGAATTTACCAAAAATTGTCTATTCTTATTGCATGAAATGTGTTGGTTCTGAGATCCTTCCCTTGGTTTAATATAGGCTGCATCCACACTTCAGCAATAATCTGATCTGATACCACTTTAACTGCCATGGCTCAAGGGTATGAAATTCTGGGAAATGTAGTTTGTTGAGGCACCAGGTCTGGTGCAGTGCAGATGCAGTCCTGGAGAAGGAAAAGTTGGACTTTAGTCAAAAGTGCAAAGGTCTACATATCATTGGTTGACTATCTTTTCTTAGATTTAGCTATTATTGAGAGGTCCTTAGATATATGCAGGAGAGATTGCTCCTAACCACTTGACATATCAGCACAAACTTTTGTCTCATGTTAAAATCTCATGGTAAAAAGGCAGAGTTGTTTTTGCTTTTGAACAGCTGTGTGTATTCATGCGCTGAAAAAGGTGGAATATATTTCAGAAGCGAGTACTCATTTAATCAAGAGTAATTCATATCATTAAGTAATGGGAAGATTTGTTTATATTCAGTGACAGTTTTTGTGGGAGTATCTTTTAAAGAAAAGTAACAAGACAGCTGTTCAGTTTGTAACTATTTCAGAGTGGGCGGACAGGCCGAGGGTAGTAGGTTGATGGGATGGTTCTGCCTGCTTCCATACACAGAAACAAATCAAACTTAATCCAGAATAGCAATGGGACAGCATTGTTTAGAGACTTGGGCAGTGGGGGGGACACTAGTTATGTGACACACAAACTCTGTCCTTCAACCAGTGGCTGTGTCTGGCTTCCATGCTATTGTGAGTGGTGAATTCACTCTGGGTTTTAGTTTGAACTTTAACTCAGTTATCCAAAGTGTTAAACCTTTTAGGGGGACTGGATCAACATTCAAACCACACTCGAGATGCTGAAACCCAAGAAGTTTAGCATCATTGACAATTCATTTCAAGTTCAGGCTAAACCTGGTAAGGATTCTCTGTCTCCACTGACAGGGAAGCCACCAGCCACCATTGTCTACATCTGAGAGACAAGAGAGAATGGTTGTGAGGGTTATCATTGCTATCCAACACAATGAAGGCAGTTGTATCACTCTGCTACAGGACAGGGCGATGTTCCTATAATACAGGAAGCTGTATTGTACTACTAAATGCCACTTTGATGTGACAAGTGAGTCACCTATGGCTTCTTTTGTTCACTAGGCTCTAGTCTTCATGTCCTCCTTTCTCCCCATCATTGGAACTTCAAATGTGTAGGAACCAGGAGACAGAGACAGAATGAGCTTGCTGGGAACATGAGGAGAACCAACTGATGCCAGACCCTGATTCCCCAGGGAAGTGAGTTTTCAGTAAACTCTAAACTGACTACCTCCTTAGGAGTAATAAGCAACTTAGGGGGGTTGCAGACTGCTAGAAATAGTGCAAATTGAGTCCACTTTTAGGGTTAGGATTAGTGCTAGGGAATCATGGGAACTGTAATTTATTGTGGCACCAGAGCTCTCTGACAGAGAAGGCTCAATGTCTCAGAAAAAAAACACAATTCCCATGACTCCCTAGCACTAACCCTAACCCTAAAAGTGGACTGAATTTGCACTATTTCTGGCAGTCTGCAACCCCCCTTAGTACCTTCCAAAAGTTTTGGACTACATCTTCCATCATTGAAAGCTCTCAGCTATCCGTGCCCGATTATTACTATTTACACCAGCATGATTATTAGTCAGGGATGATAGGGGGTGTTATCCACACAGAGAAAGATGATGTTAAGGTATCTGTTGACCAGGATTTGGGGGTTTTGTTTTATTTTGTAAGCTTTGATTGAGCATATACTGCAAACCACACACTTAAAAATGCATTTGTCATCATATCTTGAGGAGTTGTCCCAGTGATTAGGGCAGAAGACGGTCCATTTTTCAAATACCATGTTGCTGTACCTACTTGCAATTACTGCACATTT